CCTTTAGCATTCCGGATGAATGCAGAAGCAAATTTTGCAAGCGTTCGAGTTCTCCAGAGATCAAGTGAAGCTCATCTCACGCCGCTGCCCATCTCCATCTGCACTTTTCTCATTCTGGCTAAATTAGAACTGTGCACTTCTGAACCGGGAAAATGCCCATTTTTCCAAAGGGTGAACTGAAAATGCACACTTGTCTCTCACAAAGCACAAACATGTGCATTATTTTCAAGCATGCACATGAAAATGTGTGACCTTTCAGAGGACAGACTCTCCTGCTCCCATTTGCATTGGGGGTTGTGATCACAGTTCTTGTAAACAAAAGTTCTTCTCACCAGTGGCAAATGGCACCACAAGAGATGCTGCCACTGATTAGCTTCCCATTCTCGAATGGCTGTTATTTATGCAGGGAGAGAAGAAATCCCTACTAGCCTCACGAAGGTGGCCTGTCACCTTTTGGGTAGCCCAACATATGGGAAATACCAAGTTGAAGTTTCCCCTACCACTTAATTTCCAAGCCACCAGCAAAGGCTTCCTTTGCCAATTTGTTCTGCATCAGGCTGACAGTTAAAGAGGCCAGCGCAGGCTAGGGCCTGGCTCCCCTTTCCCCAAACCAGCAGAGGGACAGAATTTGGAAAATCAGCTCTTCCTAATGGAGGACATTTGGAGTATAGGCAACAGAATCAGTGCACTGTATTAGCATAGTGTGTATATTAGTATATGCAAAGCATTGTGCAAACAGACTGTGATACATTAGCATAGTTGCCTCTTTATAGCCTGAAGTTCCTGATCTTGGAAGCTAAGCAGGGTCAGGTCCAGTCAGAATCTGGATGGGTGACTTGAGCGTATTATTCTATGATTATTGTTGTAAACTGCCCAGGGAGCTTTGGCTGTGAGCAATATAGAGATGTGAATAAACATGAGAATAATATTTCAGTATGAATACACTGCATTTCTGCCCCACCTTTAGAACCCAAAGCAGCTCTTCTCTCTTCTGTCCTCACAGCCATGCTGGGAGGTGGGTTAGGCAGGTTAGGCAAGAGCTGCGACTGGCCCAAAGTCTCCCACTGAGCTTCAGGGCCGAGTAAGGGCTAGAGCCGAATCTCCCAAGGCCCAGCACTCTCCAGGTCTGACACCGTGCAGGGCCTCTGTGGTCAGGGTGCCGACTGCACCCGGGGGCATCTGTCTGCTGAACTGCACTTGGCCAAGAAGCTCACCAGGCAACTGTGGCCAATCACAGACCGCTAGAGAACTGGCCCAAAGTTGGCCCTCCACCTGAAGGTGGAGATAGAGGATTGGACTTGCCCAATCCAAGTCCTCTTTCAAGATTTAAAAAGAAGAGAGCCAAGAACGGGCCTTGAACCTGACCGGTTTCTTGTGCAAATAGAATGAAGATGGGGGAAAGATGGGCGGATTGGTGCTCAGGCCTTTGCAATGGGCTGAATTCGACCAATGGAGCTTTTTGTGGCTGCTCACATGCAGAGCAGGGTCGCTGTCCCAGGCAACCGCACAGGGGCTGATGGAAAAGTTGCCCCTTTGTGGGGGCAGCCCCTTCCAGCTGGAGCAAGGGCCGCTGGGAGGCCAGGCTGACTAGCTGGTGAGCAAGGCCAGGCCCGCCACCTCACCCCAGGTGCAGCAGGTGCCAGCGGGGTGCGGATCGTATCGCTGTGTAAAATCAGGCGTAATCCGCAGAAAACATCTGAAGGACTCCGCCAAAATTCCGAGTCATGCCAGCTACATCTGATCGCTCTGCAATTCAGCACATGCCAGGCAGGCTAATGTGCTATCGGCCCCTCCCGCTGCTAATTTCCTTGTGGTTCGCAGAGTGGAGTGAGAACGAGTGTTGTGAGGTGTATCGATTCCATCTGCAGTGCAAGATCCCATCTGTGCAGAGGTGTGGGGATGCCTGACACAGCCTTGCGACTAATTAAGCAAATCTCGCTCTTGTAAGGCGGTGCCTCTGAACACCGCATGCCTCTCTGTGCAAATTGCCCCTCAAGTGGATTTCCTCCTCACAAGCCCTCAGCTCCGAAAGCAACAGGAAGCCCAAATAGCAATCCTTGTGCTGGGAAGACTTCCTCGGATCAGGTGAACTGGCTGCCCGGAGGCGAATCCGCATCTCACCGCAACCCCATTTCTGTTCCGTGCCAAGCCTACCACAAGTTAGTCGGGCTCAGTTGAAGAGAGAAAAGAGAGGCGTTCTCCAGAAGTTGAGGGAGAGCGAGGGAGAGGCCCCGGTACCTCTGCTGGCTACCTTGAGTACTCTGAGCAGGTCGATGTGTGGGCAAATATGCTCATGGGCTGTGCTGCTGAGTGGCGAGAGCAGGGCTGAATTAGCACTCTAAAGAAAGCCATCTTTAAGGCAAAGTGCTTGCTTCCTCCTCCTCTTCCTCTATCAGCATCCTCCTCAACTACAAAAAGGAGATGAGATGGAGAGAAGTGGGCATGTTCAGCCTTGAGAAGAGAAGAGCGAGAGGGACATGCTGTCCCTCCATAAGTGCCTCACAGGCTGTCACAGAGAGGAAGGTCAAGATCTCTTCTTGCTGATGCCAGAGTATAGGACACAGAATAGTCAATTCAAGTTGCGGCAACCCAGATTCAGCTTCCTCACTGTCAGAGCAATACGACAGTGGAACCCGCTGCCCAGAGAGGTGGTGGGCTTTCCCACACTGGAGACATTCAGAAAGAAACTGGGCAGCCCTCTGAGTGGGATGGTGTGGACTGGTGTCCTGCAACAGCAGCGGGATGGACTTGGTGGCCTTCATGGCTCCTTCCAACTCTACTATTCTATGATTCTATGAAAAAGCTACTTGCTTCATCACAGACGTGGTACGATCCCAGTTGGGCCTCAAGAGTCCCTCCGTCCTAGAAAGCAGCAAGTCACATGCGACAAGGCGAGGGGAGAATTTTGCTAGGAGCTGCATGGGGCAAAATGGGAGAGGTGTGGGAGTGGAAGGCAGAGATACCTTGAGTGCTGGGGGCTTTACCAGGCATCAAGAAACCGGTGCTTGTGAGCCCAAGCACAGCGAAGAACTTGGGGACATGACCAGGACAACCCTTGCCAGTCCCTTCACACAAAAGGCCCTCCAGGAGGGGGGGCAGTCCATGCTTTGCCTACAGAACGTCCTGAGTTGCTCACCTGGAGCTCACGGGAGCAGCTGCCACTCCGGCTAGGCAGCCATGGGCTCCCTGCACCGAGATTCCGACTCTGCATCATACAACAGCCTTTGTTCCCCAGAAGCCTTTTCAGCAATTTCATCTGGGGAAGGAAGGCATTTTGGCATTTTTAATTGCAAAGCTTTTATTGATTGTATCCATTGCTGGTGCTGTGACCACTGGGAGCTGCAGGTCCTTGCGGATTCACTGCAGAGAACCAGAGACGTGCTGCTGGGTCTGGTTTTGCCTTCTCCCCACCCTGCTTTAAGGGAGACGTTTCCAGCCTTCCATGTTGAGTTTTCGGCATCTCCGCATTGTGCCAAAATGCCCCCAAACTACCAGCGTGCTTTCTATTACTGCCTGCCGTATCAGATTCACATGCATCCTTCCATATGGAAAGCATTTCGTGCGTTTGATGTAGCGATACAGATCTTCTTGTTTGGAAGCAGCGTGGGTCGGGGGAGGGAAGGGACCTGACATGCTCACGTCATGGACGTCCGTGGCGTGCCAGAGGCAGACTAGTTTGAAGCGGGCGCGTGGCAGCGAAGGGAGCGAAGGCAGTCGTGCGCTGCTCTTTCTCCACGGATGCCTTTTCTTCCTCCCAAGGCGCAGCCTTCAAGGCCTGCGTGGAGCAGCCTGCAAACCGGGGACAGAAGCGGCTTGGCGAAGCGGTGCGGCAGGGAGATGCCTGGCTGTGCAGGCCACAGGGCGCTGGTCGTGCGGCACTCGGGAGAGGCTTGCAGGACCTTTCCGTGGCATCATGGCCCCACAGGGCCTCTTCTGTGCTTTCTTGCCATTGTGGTGGCCTGCCTGCCTTCCTTCCTTCCTTCTATGAGCCACAAAAGTCAGCTATTAAAATTCAAACTGCAACAAAAGCCTCCTGCAGAATCGCAGTTTTGCTGTAGTGCAGCTACACTGAGCGCCACCTTGTGCTTGAAGGAGTGCCTTCTTGCCCGTGTGCCCTCCCACCCCTTGAGCTCTGAGGGAGAGGCCCTACCCTGGGAGCCCTCCTTGAAGGAGATCAGGAGGGTGGCTACCCGGAGCAGGGCCTTCTCCGCAGTGGCGCCCCAACTTTGGAATATGTTCCCCAGAGAGGTTTGCCTGGCGCTGACGTTATATTCTTTTTGGCGTCAGGCAAAACCCTTTTTATTTTTTCCGCTATTTTAATGTTTAATTGATTTTAACTGGGGTTTTAGTATATTAATGCTCGGATGCTGTGGGATTTCTTTTATTTTACTTATTTATTGTATGCCATCCTGAGATGTTCCGCAGGGGACAGGATAGAAAAGCTTTTAATAAATAAATAAATAAATAAAATACAGAATGGTAGAGATATACAAACACTGGGGGGGGGCAGTATGCAAAGGACACATTTTCCCTCCTCAAAGACAATGGAAGAGGCGTCTGTGCATTGGCAGGTTAAACTCCTCATGTCAGGAATTTAACAAGTGCTTCTCTGGCCTTTCTTCTGTGCTAATTCACTCATTATTGTGGAAAAATAGTTTTGTTGCAATGTTACAGTTTATGCTAACCCAGCAAGGTCACTCCAGTGATCTTGTTCTATAGTTAAATGGCGATCACTTTTGACATGCCTCAGGACAGTGAAACTTGTAGCCCTCCATGAATGTGATGCCCGTACCAGATGGGCCTCTTGCATCCCACTCACCATAGGCCCTGGTACAGTCCTCCCAGTTTTGGACCTCAACTTCCAGCATTCTTGAGCACGGCCCATGTTAACAGGGATCTGCAGAAGATGAAGTTCCAAACACTCGGGGATCTACCCTGATCCCCGTCGTTCACAGGACTGCAAGGGCCAATCGATCTGACACAGAATTTCTTTCTTTCAGGGCACAGGCAGAAACTCGAAGAGCAAGCAAAATCCTTCCCTGAGCGCTATGGAGACTTGGATAGGATTCGGCACATGAGGGTCACCCCGCCAACTCCCAGCCCCAGAGGAATGAGTGCTCCTGGGCACTTTCCAACACAAGCTCAGAGCCAGATACAAGGTAAGACCTTCCATCCTTTCACAGCTGCCTGTGGCCCCACCGCTGGGTCCGGAGCTAAGCGTGGGTTTGCTTCCACACTGGATGAGCTGTAGAGCGTCGTAGGCTGGGTATAATTCTGCTGGCTGGCTTGAGTCCCCTGGAGGACTTTGCCCCAAGGCCCTGGTGTCTCTCATCACGACGGCTTCAGGCTGCCCAGTCAAGCTGAAGAGGAAATGTATCACCCGAAAGCCGATTCTGACAGCCACAACATTTTGATACGCTGATGTGTCGGTGCACATGGGGAGGAGTACCTTTTACTGCAGTGGGGAATGTGCTGGCCAGGTGAGGGGTGCACCTGCCCACCTGCTCTCCGGGAGCAGCAGCTCCGGGTCGTGTTCTCCTTCCTTCAGCAGTTGCTTCACTTTAGAGGGCACTTGGAACAGGACGGCCCTTTCAACAGAGGAGGCCTTCAGACAGAGGTGTCCTCTGGCAGCCTTTCAGTAGAGAACTGTCCTCAGTAAAGTAAGACACAAGAGGCAACAGTGCAACTTCTCACTGCCCCTACTTTACCAGGGTCAATCCTTATTTCTGGGCACCTGAAAAACCACTTTGTCTGCAGCCCCTGCCCCCTAACGGGGTCTTTGGGAGAGATTTGAGGGTGCTTCTCTGCAGCTGATGCACTTAAGTGGCTGCAGGCGCTTTCCATCCATCCCCTCGCCGCCACACCAATGCGCAACTGCCTGCCCGACCAGCAAAAGAGCACTTGAGCATTTCCAGTGAGCATCACCAGCCCCATGGAAGGTGGAGGGAGAGAACTGGCCAAGTGCAGAAGAGCCATTACTGGGTCCTGTCCCTGCAGGATCTGGGGGCAGGTGTCCAGACCCGTCCTCAACAAGCAGCGGGAGGATCCCCAGACTGGGTGGCCCCTCGCAGATCACCCCAAAAAGGGAAACGCACCACAGAGAAGATGATGCCAGTCTCCATATCAATTTGCGTGTGCTGCTATCTCTGTGTTAATGTCTGTAATGGCACTGTATGTATACATGCAAATTTAGCATAGCTAGATATGCAGCTGCGGGGCTCATCGTTCAGGTGCCAAGGGAGGGTGGCAGTGCGTTATCCGGAGCTGCAGTTGGGGGGCACAGCTCTTCAGAGGATGGCCCTCTGTTGGAGAGGGCTCCTGGCCACCCTACGCCAAATGCAGCAGAGCCTTTGACCATCTTCTGCAGCAAGCAAAATAATGTTCCGTATCAGGTTCCTGCAGGACCATTAAGGCCAGAGTTGCAAATGACCTAAATGTGCCACTGATTTGCTTTAATATTCCCCTGCTTGAAATCAGCGAAGCAGGGAAATGCCCAGTGATGGCCTTCTTGGCAAGATGTGGGAGCACAGAGGCGACATTTAATTTTCCCACCATGCCCTGGACCAAAACTCCTTGGGCCTTGCTGGAGCATTGTGGGAAAGACAAAATGGCAGTGTGTGGCAGATTGCTGGTGCTGGCAGCTAAATCCACAGATTGGGGGCGGGGGGGGCGGGGGGGCAGTCAGGGTGACATGGGAGGGCGCTTCCAGGCGGCCCTCTGCAGAATAGGACACTTGGTAGGAGAGAGGTGCTCAGGAAACTTCCTGGGCACAAGGACAATGGCATCAGGCATCACTGCTGGCCCAAGACTGTGGAGGCCAAGTTGGCTGATAGTTTCTCCCCCCAGCAGGAGGTGCACCTTGATCTAGGATTCTGCAGCAGAAGTTCCCCAGGGTGGCACAGATGGGTTTCTGGAAAGAAGCCACAATGCTTTATTGATCAGATCCATTGATTTATTGATTAGAGGTCTATAGCACCAAATAGCAAACATTCTCTGAGTGGTTCCTGACCCTAGGATGCAACACAGGGGAAACTATGCAAGTTTAAAACCACAAATAGAAATAAAAACCAGAGTAAAGCAGCAATGCAAAGAATGAGATCAATCATGGATTGGAAAACAGATTTAAAACAGAAATGGAGAGATTGAAATGCTGCGAATAGGACAGTCTTCTCTGTCACTGGAAGGAGCGCAATTTTTATTTATGTATTTATTAAAACATTTTTATGCCGCCCCATTCCCCGAAGCCTCGGGGCGGCTTACAACAATAAATTAGATCCACATAAATAAAAATTAAAATATATACATTAGAATAATAAAAAAAATGGACCCCCCTGTGTGGACAGATGTTGGCATCCCATGAGTTCCTTCAAACTCACAAGCTTAAAGGCAGAGAGAAAATTCCGAGATGAACGTTCTCATAGTAACCCATGGGCAGGACCCCCTAAGGCTCCAGGGCAACCCATTTAATGCAGCTCTTGTTGAGGGCTGGGAGGAAGAACATGCTTCCCCCTTGCACCAATTCAAGCAGCAAACCTTCAGCATCAAGACAGGAGGGGAACCCTAGGAACCCTCAGTCATTTATGGGATTGCACCAAGATAGATCCAGCTCAGGTGGCCCCTTGCATCCAGCGGAAGAGAAATCAGTGAAGCCCTGCCTTTCGTCAGGGCCAATTCGTGTGGCTTCCTTTTTAAGCAACATGCAAACTTTCCTACAACACAGGAGTTGCTCTCAGCCTCCTGAAGAGGAGCTCTGGGTAACTTGGAGGTTCCGTTTTGCTTTTTGAACGTGGGTTGATGGGTCCAAAGAAAAGCGAGCCATGCAATGTCCGTTTCAGCCACTAAGAAGTTGCCCAAAAGGCGTGCATTTCAGGAGTGCCAGGAGATGGCAGTTCAGTGATCCTAATGTTTTGCACCATAATCAGGAACGGCATTTGAAAGCAATACTTAAACTGGTGTCCGATTTCTGAAAACAATTAAAACACCCAGGGAAGACCACAAACCTGTGTGAAGTGGCATTCAGCCTTTGGCAGAACCCATCCTTCCATGCTGGCTAAGGATGATGGGAGTTGTAGTGCCACATATCGGGGGAGGGACCAGCAGGAGGAAGCCTGGATGAATGTCTTCTTCACAGAGTTTTGGCAAGGATAAAGATGAACAGCCGGTCTTTGCGTAAGCAGCCTTGAGTCCCCTGAGGAGCGATGGGTGAGAAACGAGATGAAGACAGGCTGAAAAGAGGCCACCAGGCTTCGCGCAGGAGACCTGCCACTGACAACCCTTTTCACAAACAGGTTCCCCTAAATACTGTTGGCTCAGCTTTTGATGTGAACCCACAAATGGGTTCTGAGGCAGCCTGAGAAGGACTCCTTGCCCCAGACAGCAGTTCCCAGCACTTCAGCCTAGATGCCTCATTCTTCCTTTTGCCAAAATCCCTCTCCCCTTCTTTTGCCTTGAGGGTTTAGTCTGCAAGTGAGAATCAGCAGACTGGCTCCAGGCATTAAATGACCTGTTCAGAAGAGCGGGAACCTGCCTCCTGACACTCTCCAAGGGGCTGACTTGGCTTGGCTGGCGAAGCTCCCCTGAGCAGCAGAGAGACGTCTCCCCTCCTCAGGTGACCTCGACTCACCTGCAGGAGATGCTCACCAGCCAGGCCATGAGCAAAGAATCCATAGGATTAAAACAGTGAAATTGAAATGCGATCGACTCATTTAAAATAATGGTATTTTCAAAGCAAATGCAGTTATTTTAATTAGTAAATAATGTGCTTCCATAAATAGATAACTAAAGCAATAAAGAAATGTTTCAGACCCAGGCTTGTGCAAAGTTTAAGAATTGGGGGTGGAAAAGCTCAGAACCACAGGCCTTTCTGGAGTCCTGATCCAGCTCTCTGAGATTCTACTTCTCACAGCCACCCACTGATTATAGTAGGTGCAGGGTAATGATGTCTCAAAATAAAACCACGTTCAGCTGATTTTTATATATAATTAATGAATGAGAAACATCGCCCAAATCCCAATGGTGGATGTATACTTTCATAGTACTGTCCAGATAATGTTTATTGTAAAATTCAACAAAGCAGGGCCACAAAAAAATGAGACAAACACACACATCATTCGCACACATATATTGCACATGTATCCTTTGCAATTACCGCCCTGAGACATTGGGAAGGGAGGGATATAGATGCCATAAATAAATGATACATCCAAACAATCCATGGTAGTTTCTTTAAGACAGGGCAGTGATGGCGAACCTTTTAGAGAACGAGTGCCCAAACTGTAACCCAAAACCCACTTAATTATCGCAAAGTGCCAACACTGCAATAAAACCTGAAAACTGAGGTTTTAGTTTAGAAAAAACAACTCACAGACAGTCCAAGCAAATATATATATCCTTGGCAGTGCACTGGCCAGCCATGCGGAAGCTCAGAAGAGTCGAAGCTAATGCGTCGCAGCTTGTGATGTTATTGCCAGGCGCCGCTACTCCTTTCCGAGCATGCGCATGGCCCCTATGTGCGCTGTCATCCGATGCTCGGCTGCTGGGGTGATGCTGGGGCGACTTGGCTCGCGTGCCGACAGACAGGGCTCTGAATGCCCACTGTGGCGCGCATGCCATAGGCTCACCACCAGTGTCCTAACCCTACCCGGTGCACACCCCTAACCCTAATACAGGGCTAAAGTTCCATTGAAAAGAGGGCGATTTTGAAAAAGCCTTCCTTGAGTAGCTTTTTCTGCGCAGCTCATCATTTCTGCCCATTCTAAACACATTCCAACCATCGATACCATGCCAGGACACCTCCTTTTTCTAACCCTAACCCTACCCTGGCGCACACTCCTAACCCTAATATAGGGCAAAAGTTCCATTGAAAAGAGGGCGATTTGAGCGTTGGTTCTGGGGACACCACCCTTGTTCCCCACACATTATGGCACCCTGGATTTGCTTAAGCTCCATGCAGTTCCGGGTCGCTCTTTAATGCACCGTGCCTCACCTGGGATAACTGGGAACACGACTGGGAAATGAGGTGTGCAGGCTCTGTGCCAACCAGCCCCTGATGGCCAGAGTGGGGACTAACAAGCTTCTGCCCACACATGTTCATCCAGACTGACCTTGTGTCCGCTTGGCAAGGGACAGTCCTCTTCCTGAAGGCTGCCACAGGCCGTCC